CCGCTGGGCAGGGCGGACCTGCGTGGGGGATGGGACCTCGGTCAGGGAGGCTGGCGGACAGCAGGCGCCACTCCAACCAGGGGTGAAGGACAGCACGGGGCCACCCCAGCTCTGCTGCTCCCTGTCTTCCCATCCCCGCCCCAGTGGGCACCACGGTGGCACAGAGCAGCCGCCTTCGCCCGCCCGGCTGGGCAGGGTGGTGTTCCTGAATCAGAACGGTGCCCGGGCCTGGCACCCGTCTGCCCCACCCGGCTGGGCTCTGGGACTTGCCACATGGGCCTCACGACGGCTGGGGGTAGAGAAGGACCAGGGGTGCCCTGTGGGCTGTTGGGCACAGAGAGGAGCTCCCAACGCAGGAGCCGCCCCAGGCTGGGCAGCGGACAGCAGGGCCTCGACCTGGGGAGCCCGGGGCCAGGCTCAGGCCCAGCCTGGTCGGCTGAGGTCACCTGACGAGCCCCTGCTTGGAACCTCCCTCCTCGTCGCTGGCGTGGGGGTGGCCGGGGGGTTGGTGACCAGAGGTGAGGCCTGTGCGGCCCACAGGACCTGCCGCTGACCGGGAGCTGTTTCTGGTCCCCCGCAGGCTTGCCGGCCGGGCCCGAGGGTGACCCGGCGGTGGCAGACACGCTCCTGTCCTCCCGGTCGGCCTGCGTGGGCCTCCTGTGCCAGACCCTGGCCCACCTGGAGCTGCTGCAGCCCCTGGTAGGTGTGGCCCCAGCCTGCGTCCCAGGGCAGCAGGCAGCAGCCTCGGGCCGCGCTGACCCCCCTCCTCCTGCAGCCCCAGCGCCCCGCGCCCTGGCCCCAGGCGCCCCTGCTGGGGGCCGCGGTGACGGTCCTGCGGTTCTGCAATGGCTCAGCGGTGCCCGCCTCCGGCTCCGACGTGGGGGGCCGCCTCTGTGCCATCCTGGCCAGCTGCGTCCGTGTCCAGCGAGCGGCCCTCGGCTTCCTGGGGGCGCTGTCTGAGGACACAGGTGAGCAAGGACGCTGCGCGCTCGGCTCAGTTTGAGCAGGTCCCATAGGCCGCCCTTCCCTCGCTGCTCAGGACGTCCTGGGCCTGTTGTCTTAGGGGGGCGGCGGGGCCCTCCCTGTGATGGATTCTGGGAGCCCCGGGCGGGCAGGCGGGCGGGAGGTGGGGGTTCCACCCACCACGTCTGTCCCAGGGCCCCCCGAGCTGGTGACGCAGGTGTTTGCCGTCCTCCTGGATTACCTCCAGAGCCCCGACTCCAGCCCCACGGTACAGGCTGGGGTGCAGGCCTGGGGGGTGGGGCAGGGGCCGAGGAGGGGCGCCCTGCAGGCCTCCGACCAGGCCAGTCGCTTGTCGCTTCCCAAGGGAGTTCCCACGGGCAGGCGACTGCGGGTTCTGCCGGGCCTGGCGAGGCGGAATGGGTGCTGGGTGCTGGGTGCTGGGCAGGGAGGGAGGCAGGAGGGGCGGGCTTCGCACGGTTCTCGCGGGAGAGGTGGCCCAGAGCCGGGGGACCCTGTGCCGGTGCCTGGTGTTCCCTGCAGACGCACCCGTTCTCATAGCCCCGCGGCTGAGCCGGGCCCTGGTGGGGGCACAGTGACGTCCACACTCGCCCTGAGCAGAAGTGGGAGTGGGCGAGGCCCCGGGTCCCTGGGCTTGAGGCAGGGGCGCCCTGTAGTTCTCGCGTCTTGGGCAGAAATTGCTTGTCCCCAGGAGTGAGGCCCTGACGAGGCTGCCTCTGCCCTCCCCTCCTCTCTCATCTGGAGGCCCCTCTGCTTCCCGAAGCTTGGGCTCCTGGAGACGGGCCCAGTGCGGCCTCCCACAGCCCATCTGACCCCCGGGGCAGGGGCAGGGGCAGGGCTGGGGCACGGGGTGGGCGGGCAGGGTCTCCCCTCCCGGCCTGCAGCCCCGCCCTCCCCAGGTTCTGAAGAAGGCCTTCCAGGCCACACTGCGGTGGCTCCTGAGCGCCTCCACGCGCCGGGGCTGCTGCGACCTGGACCCCCCCACCCAGCTGTTCCTCAGAGGTAACCCGGCCTCCTGCAGGCCACCCTGGGGAGCCACAGGGCTGGGCAGGGCTGGGGGGCTGGGAGGGGGCGGGCAGGCGCGGGCCACTCTGACCCCCCTCCCGCCCCAGAGCTTCTCCCTGTGCTGCAGAGGCGCCTGTGCAGCCCCTGCTGGGAGGTGAGGGACTCGGGCCTCGAGTTCCTGACCCAGGTGGTCGGACGCTGGGCAGGTGAGTGCAGGCGGCGGGGGGAGGGCTGGCCCCCCTGTGGCACCTACACTGGTCACCGGGTTGGCTTTGGAGCCTGGACCAGCGAGGCTGCAGGGTCAGCTCTGGGTCACAGCGGCTGTGGCGCTCGCACCCTCAGGACAGGCCGGCTTCAGACACGCGCTCCTGGCTTCCGAGGTGCCCCAGCTGGCGCAGCAGCTCCTGCAGGACCCTGAGAGCTACGTCCGGGCGAGCGCAGTGACCGCCGTGGGGCAGCTCTCCAGCCGAGGGCTGCACGCCTCCCCCGCCGGCCCTGAGCACCTGGGAGGCCCGCAGGTAGGCGGCAGCAGGGCCTGGGACCTGCCTAGCGTGGCAGCCTGGGGCCGGGCTCTGTCCGGCCCGTCCCGGGTCTCCCCCTCAGCTCCCAGCACCCCATCGCATGGATGTGGCCCCCCCTCCCCCGCACGTGCTCAGCCCGAGGCCTGTGGGCGGGTTCTGGGGGCTCTCCCTGCACCCCGCGTGGGCGCTCGCCCCCCGACCCTCCCACGCCTCCTGTCTTGCAGAAGAGCCTGCTTCCCGAGCTGCTGCACGTGCTGGCCGCGGACTCGGAGGGCTTCCCCCCGCAGGGCGGCCCATGCAGGTCTTCACCCAGTGGCTTCGGGACGGCCACGCCGAGGTGGCCGAGGACACGGAGCGCTTCGTGGCCAGGGTGCTCCAGGCAGCCAGCCGGGACCTGGACTGGGAGGTCCGGGCCCAGGGCTTGGAGCTGGCGCGGGTGTTCCTGGAGCAGACGCTGGGCCAGCCCGGCTCCCGCTGTCCCTATGCCGTGGCCGCCCCGGAGGCCGCCGCCCCTGGCCGTGTGGCCCAGGCCCTGCGGGCCTCCTGCCGCGTGCAGCTCGTCGAGTTCGCCTTCCGCGCCCTGTTTGACTATGACCGGCCCGTGGCCCAGAAGTCCTGTGACCTCCTCCTCTTCCTGCGGGACCAGGCTGCCCCCTGGGACAGCCTGCAGGAGGCGGGGGGCAGCCCCGACGTGGCCTAACGTGGAGGCCGCCCTGCAGAGGTGGCGGGCG